AACTCAAAAACAGCAATACCAAACACCCACTTCAGTTAAAACTTGAGACAAACCCAACCTTCATCCTTCATGCAAGCAATTATAGCGCATAGATTGTCAAGAGAACCAGAGGCAGATTATTGTGAGCACTTTGATTTCCCGAGATCTTGTCTGGACAGCACTCCTTACGATGAAATTGGATTAGCTGAATGTATTGAATGTATTAGCTGTTTTAACAGGCTGTGAAACTAATATAGCACTCCGCACCAGTTATAAAATGCATAGGGCCAAGAGAGATTTAAATGATCGTAAACCCGGTATATTTTATGATTGGAACGAGGAATTATCATGATTTATGCAGCTTGCCACACAGCCATCGCTTTTAGCCAAGGTTCAAAATATCGCCACGCTCATGTGTATCACCATTTTAAATAATGCATGTTTTTATATATATATATATATATATATATATATATATATATATATTTTATATTTAGTTTTTGGACATATTTTTAACTATATTTTTTTTATTAAAAAGATAAATCTCAAAATCCTTGTGAATAGGTATATCGTAAAGCACTCGATATGTATCGAGCATACTCCCCAATGATGGGATGGTAATCTTGTTCTTTCTAGCTCGTTCGATTGTCTATCCTTATGATAGATTGTTAGGATGCTTTATGGGCACAAATCACAATAAATCATCTAATCATGGTTTTTGAACTACTGTTGACCCGGATGAACGGACCACCGTTCAGTCTAGGAACTGTCAAGGCAACCAGTTCCCTTTTACCCCAAATCCAATAATTGACCAAAAACCGTTGAATTAGTCAATGACTCGTTGACCTGGACGGTCGACCCATTGACCCATTCAACGGTTTTGGCTGTTTATTATTTTTAATTTTTATCAAAACAGGCTATCCATTCAAACCGAATGATCAAACTGTCAAACCAGAAACCGCTGACCAGAACGGTTCCATTTCTGGGTCATGTTTTTAAAACCATGCATCTTATAGTAGGGGTGCTCACGATTCGGTTAACTAAACTGTGGGGCTCATTTTATAACTAAACCAGTAGTACCGGTTTTTGGAAAACCAGTAACTAAAACCAAACTAAAATCTATCGATTAACTGGTTGACCGGTTTGGTTAACCATCGGTTCGGTTCATCGGTTTTTTGATTTTTTAATTTTTACAATATATATTATAAAAATATATAATTATATAATAAAAAAGTATAAATATATATTTATATATAATACATATTTTTTAATATATAATATATAAAAATTATGTAATATACATAAATATATATAAAAATATATATATACCGATTGATTCGATTAACCGTTGATTTTCTGAATTGGTTAACCAAAACCGATTCGATACCTTCAGTTTTTTAAAAACACCAAAGCGACTGGTTCCGTCAATCGATTCGGTCTTTGGTTTTTTTTTCTCACCCCTATCTAATAGGAGTTTTTGCATGCACGGCATCAATCAGGAAATTGGTCTCTATCTAGCCACAATAATTTTATGGGTATATATATCTATCCTCCATTAAGTTTTGGAAAAGAGAATAGGATCCTCTAATTTTCGAGAAGAAATGAGCTGCGCAATACCTTTTTTTTTTTTTTGGGCGTGGCTTAGCTATTTTTCTAGTTGAACCGGGAATTTGATTCACTGAAAACACAACCGGTCGACCACCAATCCTTGATATTTCATGCCAATATGCACTTTGTTCATTCGTGCTGTTCTTTGTATCAATCAATGCATCAAGTCAAGCGGTTTGAGTAATTATGTTTGGAACTGAAATCGTGTCAAAAAGTTGTTTCAATCGACCAATATATGTCCAATGTTATAGTGTTTTTTAATTTTTAGTGATCTGTATGATTGTCACAAGTTGAACGGGGGTTTAAGTAGTAAGACATACTTGGCGCTCATGGCTCACAGTTACAGAAACAAGTCCATACAATTGAGACAAGGCTTAGAACAAGACGGTGATGATGATAGTGAAGATGACATATGAGTGAAAATGGAATTATTAAATTCATGTTTTGGATTTGCTGGTAGATTATGTGCCATTATCTTCTTTTAACAATATCTTTCTTTTTGAAAAAAATCCATTTTTATATATTATATTGTAAAAAAAAAACAATATCCAAGGTTATTTTCATCCGCATATGAACTTTTGGGTAGTAGTCAACTAGTCATAGCTTTATTTAAGGTATTGGTAAAAACCACACACATGTTACTTGTAAGTAAGGTTCAAAATATCAATACGCCCAATATGCCAGTAGGGGCGTATCGGGTAAATCGATAGTATTTTATTGATTTTTTTCGCAACCGGTTCAGGGGGCCAGTTTAAGACTCCTCCACCCTCTAAACCGGTCAAACCCCGATATACCTACTATAGGAGCGTATCGGAGGGGTCCCACAACGACACGTGTCATACTTTGAACCTTGCTTGTAAATATTAAACCCAAGTAAGGATAAACCATGCATAATAGATAATTTTCAGTCAATTATGTATTAAGCTTTAAGGGGGTATTTGACAATATGGTTTTGGTAGTGAAAATAGAAAACAATTGCCATGTCTGATGTGATAGTTGTTTTTTTAGATTTTAATGATGTGGCAATTGTTTTTATTTTTAGAAAACAAGATAATTTTGTTAATGTGGTAGTTATTTTCATTGGATATTGCTGATATGGCAGTCGTTTTTTTATTTTCAAAAACAGAACTGTGTTGTCAAACAACCTCTCAGTAATAACTGAAAATAGCTTTGGCAATATTTCGTTCAGAGATTGAAATATTATTACCGAGCCCAGTTTTTTTTCCACGGCATATTTTCCTAACAGTAGAATTGTACATATCAGAACTCAACACTAAGGCTCAGTTTGGAAGGAGTACACATACAAATATGTAGAGTGCAAAATCTTGTATTTTGTATTATTTTGAATGAATTTGCACTATACATATTTGTATTTCTACTCTTTCCAGTTTCCAAACTCAGCCTAAGGCTCTAATTGTATAGGTTTCCCTACCTTTTCTTTCAAAACAGAGACAGCCTAAAATATCACACCATGATTTTATCTTGGCAATGCTACTTGAGGTGCTTTCCATCCATTCAGAGGTTTTTTCAGAGTGGCTCTACCAAGCAGTGGCTATCAAATATCAAATCCCTTAGAATTTGTTATTCTTACACCTCAAAATTCTTTGTACAATATCATCACTAAAGAAGATAATGCTCCTTCAAAACATCAAATGGCGCTCAATAAATGGAAAATGGTTTATGACACCAAATTGATAATCTGGTGACTCTTTCAAGAACTAAGAACTACAAGTCTGCCCCCATGCGAAAAATATAATAAACAGTACTGCAATGCGCCAGCTGCAAACATGAAAAATACAAAGATGCAATTTGTTCCCCTCCCCCCACCCCCAAAAAAAATAATAATACAAAGATTGCATCTACGTTCTTTTGCTTCTCTAATACAATTTAGTCAAAAAAGTTATATATGTGCAAACCAGACACTATTCAAGCAGATTCTCTTAATTGAGAAAATTAAACAATGAGCTAGAAATAACTTCCCTGATTCAAAATCATAAATATCCCTGTCAAGAAACCTAGAAAATTAACAGAATGTGATTAAGAAGACAATTCATCCATCAAATTGTAATGACAAATTAATCTGGTCAAACTCCAAGGATTTCCCAGTCATTCTTATCTTAGTCCTCCACTTCTCCTTACAAATCTTCCATTTAGGGGTGGCAATTTCTGATCCAACCTACCTGACCCACCCACAAATAAAAATGGTTAGGTTGGGTTATGGGTATCCATTTGGGCTAATTACATGAAAGAAGTTCTCTCTCTCTCTCTCTCTCTCTCTCTATTTACTGAATCTCAACTTTCCCACTTGTCTTGAACCAGCCAAGTAGGAAAACGTAGCAACATAGGAAAAACCCAAGGATTTTTTTTTTCTCAACAAGGATTTATGTACATAGTTTTAAATATGATCATTTACTAAAATACCCCTAGTAGTTTCAAGTACTTACTAAAACCTACTCTTTAGTTTGCATTTTACAAAAACACCCCCTATAGTTTACAACTGATTACTAAATCAACCTACTGTTAGACAAAAGTGGAAAATAGCAGTTTTAACCCTAACATATGTTCAAACAAAATTAATCAAAAGAAAATAAAAGAATGGAAATACAATTCTTGCCCCTGGTAAATGTAACAATCTCTTACCACATCAACAAAAAGATGAAGAAAAGACATCATAACAAGGTTATCGTTCTAATTGATGCAAGCCAACTGTAGCCTATAAACACGGATTGTGTGAAGAAGGTTACCATGATTGACGTCTCTCTTATATCATACACACATACAATGTCTTCTCCAACCAAGTTCTGTTGTCGGGAGAGGGTTTCTTTCTAAAAGTTTGATATGGAATGATGGGGGTACTTTTGGAATAAACCATGAACCCATGCCCTTAAACATTTCCCACTCAGTTTAGGTAGTTACATGAACATTCCCATATGGCAATACAAATGGTTATTAATAGAAGGTTGATTAAGCAAATTGGTTGCAAACTATAGGACGTGTTTTAGTAAAATGCAAACTATAGGGTAGGTTTTAGCAAATATTTGAAACTAAAGAGGTGTTTAGTAAATACCCCTTTAAACATTTGAATGGGTCAAAATGAGTGGGTTAGATTGGGTTGGAACTCATGTACATACAAAATATATGGGTCAAAATGAGTGGGTTAGATTGGGTTGGAACCCATGTACATACAAAATATATGGGTCATCAATGGATGTTGGTGATTGGTGGATGGGTTGGCCTTCAACCTATATCCAACCCAACCCATCCATTTGCCACCCTTACCCCTTCCAAACATAGTAGGTTGCTTTTCCCACACAAAGGAGATTTCCCATTTTAGGTACATTTTTAACACAGTACCACTCATCAAAACTCACTTGTTCATGGGGAACATCAGGGCACATAGAACAGACAGAATGTAAGTTATAAAAGCAGTTCTACTACCATTTTCATAAATTAAAAAGTTAACCTTTAAGTTTATACAGCAACCTGGTTTATAACCAGAACAATTCCCAACAGAATACTGAACCCAGAAAGACAAAAACAATAATAATACATATAAAGCCCACCTTTGTCTAGAATTGCCTTGATTGTGATAATATAAATGTCCACCTAAAACTACAAAAGCATACAAGAAGGAAAAAAAAAAAGTTCAAATACAAAATTAAAAACAAGCAATAGACATCCTGAATTTGGCATGAAGGACTTAAGTGCAACTTGGTTCATAACACAAGGGCAAAGAACCAACTTCAACATTATCTAATCACTTGATTTGATTTTCCTCCAATCCAGCAAACACATGTCCATATATAAAAAGTTTGCAGTAACCGTGATGCAACAGGCTACAACCACAATTCTGAACAAATTAAAACAAACGTTCTAAAAGGGAATAAATCTGACCCAGAATAATTGTACTAAATAGTCTGTACATTCTGTCATGTAGCTTAAGCTTAGTACTACACATCCAACATATACAAGAATACAAAGTCATCTGGAAAAGAAGGAAACCTGAACCAATATAGAGTTCTAATACAGCTAAAAGCATTCCCGGATACAAAATAGCAAAAGAGTATTTGAAACAATCGGTTGAAGGATCTCTTACCCACACAACAAGAGGATCAAAAGGCCTGCAATACCGGCCTCTTTCCAAGCCTCTTGATCTCCCTGTCCATCTGCCCGGTGAGCATCAACCCAAACATCTTGAAATCGCATAAAAGAGACCAAAAGGGATGCCCGAATGTCGCCGGAAGGTTACCCTCGACGAAGAAATGGCTATACCAAGCAAAGCCATAGCCAAAGAATGGCACAAAGAACAGAAACCACCAGTTGAAGAGGATTGAGCAAATCAAGAAGAGAAGAGCCGTAAGCGTGCCAATAAAATGCCAACGCCTCGTCGATGGTTTCGAGTGTTGGTTGACATAGAAGGGCCAGAACTCTTCCAAGCTTCTGAAATTCATATCTATTCCTCCTTAAGGAAAACGGTAATCTCAAGTCTTGGTTGCTGGGTCTCCTCGAAAAACCTAATCAGAAAGGAACCCGGAATTCCTAGCCGGATTTAGATGTCGTCCTACTGCGAACGAATTTCCTGGATGGGCTTGACCGTCTGAGGAGATACAACCCTGAGTGATAACGGATTTGCAGACTCTGTTTAATCATTAATGGACGAAACCCAGAGATTTTTTGGTCTGATTAATATCAAGCAGACGCGATCCTGTAAATGGATGGGAAGAGCCGAGCAAAAAGAAAAGGGATAGGAAGAATGAATAAAATCCAAACTCGAGTTGGGTTTTTCTTTCTCTAATTCATTTTCGCTATTTTATGGTTGGTAAGAAGACTCTAGGGGGTGAGATTTTGCGCCGGCGAATATACGGAAGTAGGTCAGTCAGAGTTCTTCCGCTAACACAATGGATTTTATCATATGTGGTGGAGACCGGAGAGAATTGATGGTATTGGTATCTAGTCGGTGGTTTAGAAAAATATAAAATACAAAAATAAAGAAAACAGTAAATTGCAAAAACTGCCACCCTGTAAATCTGTAATTAATATTGCCACTTAAACTCCCATTTTTCATTTGTGACACTACTATGAACTTTCAAACGATTAGATTCCAGCACTTATAGCATTCTGGAATCTGGATTCAGTTAAAAAATTCTCCTGTGAATGTTTAAATCATATATTTATCTCTACATATAAAAGATACCGTTTTATGTCCATTCCCTTTGGCCCAAATTTCATATATCTATAATATATTCTTTATTTATACTATTTTCCATTTTATAAGTACTTGTTCCGTTAAAATAAAATTTTATTTGCTTATTTATTTATTTATTAAAATAAATTAATTATTATTTATTTGATTTACTAATTTATTTATTTAAAATAATTTACTTTACTCCAATATTTAGGGTTGTCAATGGGCGGTTTGGTTTGGGATAGTTTGTACTAATCCTACCATAATAAATTTTGATTTATTCATTTATTTGTTTTATTAGATTAAATAAAATATTCATAAAATTTTATTTATTTAATTTGCTAAATTATTTAACTATTTATAAATAATTTACTAGCAAATTATTATTATTGGTAGTATAGCTTGTATGAATCCTGTCCCAATAATAAATAAATTTATTTATTTATCTATCTCACTCATTATTACATTTTATTTTTACTTTATTATAACATTATTTTTTAATATAACGAAATTGATTATATACTCTTTAGATTTTGTTAATTTTTTTATATTGGTGATATTTTTTTATTAAAATAATTACCATGTAATCATCAATTTTTTTTTAAGTTGCAATAATCTTTGTATGGTAAGATTATGAAAAAATAAAATTTCATAATTTCATCTTGGTCTTATTTTTAACAAATACCTTTCACATTAATAATTTTTGTTATTATATATATTTTCACATTAGATACACGTGCATAGCACATGCCTTCTGTTAATATTTGGGTAAATTTCTTAAACTATCCCTAATATTCACGAAATTGACAAAATGTACTCTTATTGTTTATTCTTAAGTTTTGTGACAATTATCTAAAATCTCCATTACAACTAATTTTAAATCACACTTCGTAACATCACGTAAGTATTAATTATTTTAAAATTCTTAAAATACCTTTATTATTTACTGTCATTGTTGAAAGTTGCAGCTGTGGCGGTGCAAATAAGTCATGGGCAGTCCTTCGAACATTGAGAGTTTTGCCACCACTTGTATCAGTATTAGCGATGATCAGTATAAGTGGAACAGTGGCACAGACAAACCGAGCCGTTTCAGCCATTTTAGAGGCGTTAGCGAGCCGAAGTTGGGTTTACCGAGTCCAAATGAGAGAGAAGAGGCCAGAACATGATACAGCTGCTTTGAAAATGCCGCTTCCGCCTTTGACAACTCCATCTTCGAGCGGTGACCTTAGAATTTGCTTGGGTATACGCATACATACAACACCAACTCGACAAGACGTTATCCCAAACTGAGAAAAATATGGACGACCAGAGATTGGGATCGCAAGATTGATGTGTTCAGTAATTTTTTCGAAGATCTGAAACGCAAGAAGCTGCTTGGGAACAACTCGAAAGCGTTGTGCATTGGTGCTCGAATGGGGCAGGAGGTGGCGGCGTTGAAGCGAGTTGGGGTGTTGGATTTAGTGGGCATCGGTAAGCCCACCATTGGTGGTGAAGGGAAACTTTCACAGTCAGCCATTTTCGTTGGTGGTGAAGTGAGGTGGTGTGTTTGGATTCATTGAGAAAAAAACGTCGTTTCTGCCTCTGACGACTCCATCTTCAAGCGGTGACCTCCAAATTCACCCTGGGTATACCTCGTATAGTGCATACATACGACACCAGCTCGACAAGACGTTAATGGTTTGGTCTGGACACGAAATTGGTTTTCAGAAAAAGAAGAAATCAATGGCCATGATAACGGCGATAGTTGTTCTGTTTTGGTGGGTGAGATTGGATCTCTGTCGTCTGCCATGAACTTGACTTCATATCCCACGATCAAGTTCAATGATCACCTTGTTCTTCAGCAAATGATAAGGGATCTCCATATGGGTAGTGATGGAGGGTGATTGACCCGACCTCGTAGCCTAGAGACACGTGTGCGTGACCTGGCTCGACGAACAACTTAGCCTAACAGCACAATCGTAACTCGACGGGAGGGACCCGCTGAGTTCGACATTGGCCACTCGGCGGGTTAAGCGACTCGCCAGGGACTAGAGCTCCTCCTAAGGGGCCCGAGCTCCCCTTGAGACCTGAGCTCCTCCTAAGGGGCCCCAAGCACTCCCTTCCTAAGGAGAGAGCACCCCGATCTTTGGCTAAGTGTCCCGAGGGAGGAACACCTCGGGGCAGCGCCATCGAGACTCCTATTCGAACTCGATTAAGGCCCGCCTACAGTGCGGGCACCTCGGTGTACCTCAGCATCGCGATGCAAGGCAAACCTGCCCCAGGCGGTTTGGTGTGCGATGGCTCGGCAGGCTGCAGGGAAATCTGCCTGACATCCGTGCCTGCCTAACATCCGTACCTACCGGATCCATAAGCAGGGCTCAGATCCCTTGCCAGGCGGCGTTCTGTTTGCCGTCTTTGAAAAGCATGGCACGCCTGTCAAGTCCGTACCTTGCAATAGCAGCCTTGTAGCAGCAACCTGTACCTGCCACACTTGCCCTGGCAGTAGCGGCTAGGGCAGTGGCGGTTATGCCAGATGGCACGCCTGTCGAGTCCGTACCCTACAACAGCAGCCTACACCTGCCACACCTGCCCTAGCAGTAACGGCTAGGGCAGTGGCGGTTATGCCAGATGTGACCGAGCTCCGATATAAAAGAACTCCAACCCTCACGAAGCAAAGGTATTGAAGCTAGCACTCTTAATTCTCAGTATCTTCTTTGAGTTTTCCTTAGAGTTCTAACTTAGCCATCGGAGTGTTCCCTCCGGGAGAGCTTCCCGGGAATCCTTCACCTTCTTCTTCCTCTCAGGTGTCGTCCATCACAGATAGGAGCCAATTCTCAGCCAACTAGGAGTGCCCAGATTGTGCAGCATCAAGTAGCCCTTGTGTGAAAATCCGTATGGGTAGCCACTTGTGGCTCCGGATGTTCCGGTTGCACAGTAACCGAATAGGGAGATTCTGCAATAGTAACAATCCGTGAAGGCACTACAATCTCCGCCAGTGGTGGCAACGATTGCAGCAGTGGCGATGATAGCTTCCTTGACATCCCATTGTGTGCGATGGAGGCGATAGAGAGGAGAGCAAATTCCATTGTGTGCGACGACAACGGAAGGGTTGTATGTTTCCCTCTACAAAACCCTTGTTTGCATTTGGAAAAAAATTGAAAACGAGGGGTTATTTCATAAGTTGGGTTTTATTTTGAAAAATTGATAAATAGTGAAGAATAAATTCAATATTTCATTTTTTTCCGTAAAAATACAATTTGTCAATTTGGATAGTTTAAAAAATTTACCCTAAAACCTCGTATTCAATTTAGGTTGTATTTGGTACTGTTCAAAACAATCAATTATACGAGCCCTATTTGATAGTAATTTTTTAAAATACTTTCATACTTTTACAAAAAGTTTGACGACGTGTTTATTTGGGGCATTTTTTACTTTAAAAAAATAAAGATGAAAAGCATGAAGCCGGCTTTTCAAGCTTTGTGCTTTTTATGCCTCCAACAAGCCAAAATGCTTTCAAATACGTGTGATACAGGCACACGTGTATTATTTGTTAGTTACCCAAGTAAGTCTCTTCTTCGACAAAAATCCAATCCTATTCAATCTCAGTCCTCCGTCATACCTCTCCATGGGACTGTGTTTCTCCCCCATTTCTGGTCATCTGCTCTGATTCGTCCACTAGAAACATCAATTCCATTGTCGGATGATTTGGCATTGCCACATGTAAATTCATGCCATTTTTTTCGCATTTTACATTCGATTAAGCCATTCACTAAGCTCTAAATATTCAGGTTTCGTTCTCAGAGTTTGTCGCCATATAAACCACTGTAACCTTGCCGAAAATCGTCAGGTATGGATATCATACACCTCCTCCTACCACCCCCTTCTATTTATGCAAATGTTGCTCGTTCTTGTTAATACCTCCGTTGGTTTTCATCATCTCATTCCTGATCAAATGTTGTTTATATTGTCTTTATTGTCTTGTGCTTTTATACTGAATTGTAATTGATGTATTTGGTTCCTGATGTAATCGTTTTTGGTCACGTACCAATTTTTGTGATGGATCAATTTTTTTTGGCTAAGTACCTCATTCTTTGACTTGTTCCCAGGCGGCCTGTGATTCAGAGGATGATGGGGCTCCCTGGTGGCGAACTGCTTGGTGATGAGCTACTTGGTGGCGGACTGCTTGGTGGCGAACTCGCTGGTGGAGAACTGCCTAGTGGCGAGCTCCTTGGTGGTGAACTGCTTGGTGGCGAACTCCCTGGTGGAGAGCTGCCTGGTGGCGAGCTCTCTGGTGGTGAACTCCTTGGTGGCGAACTCCCTAGTGGAGAACTGCCTGGTGGCGAGCTCCCTGGTGGAGAGCTACTTGGTGGTGAACTCCCTGGTGGAGAGCTACTTGGTGGCGAACTCCCTGGTGGAGAACTGCCTGGTGGCGAACTCCCTAGTGGAGAACTACCTGGTGGACTCGTCATTTGACCTGCTCCTAGGCGGCCTGCAACTCGGAGGATGGCGGAGCTCCCTGGTGCAGCGCAACCCGACTTCCCTCTGCATGGGGTGATCTCCTCTCCTTTGTAGGCGGTGGGAGCTGAGGAACCTGCGAGAACTGAATCAGAGGACCCGGGGGTATTTTCTCGGCGGGGACTCTCCGATGCCTAAGTTAGCATTCTGATTACAGAGAGCTTGGAGAGAAATGGGAGAGCTAGAGAGCAGGGGTTACCATCATTTTTCATCCTCTTTGTTTTGGGGGTCAGAGTCCTTATATAGTGGTGTCCTC